TGTCATTTTCTGTCCATCCTGAAACAAAAGAACTGAGTCTCAGAGTATCTCCTATCCAGCGGGAGGCTCCCCTGTCCTTGCTGCAAAACCCGTTACACAAAATGTGTGTTAGTGCATGTGTGTGTCTGCCCTTCATGTGTGGAGAGGAAGCTGTGAGAGAGCATGTAGGCTCTCCTTTCACACACACACATGCACATCCACACACTTAGTTATTACCTGACAAATCCAGAAGAGGGCAGCTTCTCTGCCTGTTCATGATGTAACTTCCTGTATTCAGACTGGTCCACGCTCTCTCTATCAACCTTGAAAGTGAGCAGAGCAGGAGGTGTATTACAAATAGCAGCAGCAGGATTTCTGGCGCCTCTTTTATATTTTGGAGACTACTACACAAGACATGACAGTCCTGAAACAAACAAGCCTTCAGTATTTTGTTTGTTGTTATTTATTTCTCTTCACACTTTGAGCTTTCTGAATGGAGCTCTGCCGTTGCCATGGCAGCGCTGCAGAGAGACATTAACATTCTGAGCACGGTCGCCAAGACAACTGTGGGAAAATTCTAGAATGGGACGTTTGCTAGGAGACCAGTTACACCGGCTGATGCATGTGAATGAGTTTCATCCTTCTTTGAATTAAAAGTGAATGACTCAATATCTCCTCACTATCATCATTACATTAATCAACCAAAAGTGATACTGAAAAGCTTTCTCAATTATTATTTTATATTTGTTCTGTCATCTCATCATCAATTGTCAAGTTTATTTACCAACTCACATGCCAGTTTCTTTTAATGTAATTGCTCTTGTAAGGACCACAACCTTAAGTCATTTAAAGGAGCAATGTGAAGGATTTAGTGGCATCTAGTGGTAACTTTGCAAATTGCAACCTTTTACAAGCCTGTCAGAGGACTATAGTGGCACTAAAGGTAACACTAAAAATATCAAAGCCCTTTTTTGAAATCAGTGTTTGGTTTGACCATTCTAGGCTACTGTAGAACAACACAGCTGTGCAACATGTCAGACTTTGTGAAGAGGATCTGCTCTCTATGCTGGGCTTATTATAAGCGTACTAACATGACTATTCTTTGTTTCAGGCGAGAAAAGACTAATGAGAAAACAATAATGTGTATTAATTAAACTATGCCATTAAAATTCCTTCTAAATCCTACACAATTGCTACATCTTCAGCGTAGGCAACCCTCCCTGGTCACAGATAAACTATTGGCCCCACTACTACACCCATTCCATCTCTGCCTTTAGTTTGTATGTGTATAGTTTAATTACTGCATCTTGCACAGTCGTGATGCTATGCAGTGACAACATCTGTCCACAAACATATACAAAAATATTTAAAGCATAGTTATGCAAAACGTTTACAGCAGATACATTCAAACACTGAGAACAGACACCAGAAACACTTCTCTGCCATTAGGCACATTGCATGGATTTAATAAAGTGCAAATCATACAAAATGTCCCTCAGCCTTCTTAAAGTGACTTTCCAAACCTGGAATGCGGCTGGCGCAGTGAAAAAGCAGTTTGCCACATTGAACAGTACGATGTAAGTGTTCACAGACTTTGAGGCAAGGCTACTAATTACAAGCAGAAGCCGTGATCAACAGTGTCAAAATCCATATTTAACCCTACCACTACTCATTCTGGTTTGACACACTCATTTTTCACATTTTCCATGTTGTACCATCAATGTGACAAATCAGTTAATAGCTTAAAGTGGATGTTCGATCACACGCTCTTGTGTAACTAACTTCTAATATCTAAGTCACTTCCTGAAATCTACAGACAATCACAAAGGAATATTTCTCTCTTCTCAAGCATCAGAGTCCTCTGGAAGACAACATTGCCTTTTTTCTCTTCATCACAGAGCAGTTTCTCCCTCTCCTGCTCCCATGTCCACCCTCCTGTGCACCCTGCTGTCATCTATGTCCTCCCACTCGTCCTCCACCGCCTCTCCATCCTGCGTTCTGTTTGGTCGGTTCAAGCGAAGGAGGCGGAATCTAAGCGGCACCAAGAAGAGGGCGGGGTCGGGCATGGAGTGAGGCCTCTGCGGGGAAGTCACTCTCTCCTGCGGGACACATGCTCTGACCCTCTCCTCCCGCAGGCTGACCCGCCTCTTGTGTCTCGCTTCCTGCTGGTCAGGAGAGGCTGGAGGAGGTGGAGACAGAAGCCAGTCTGAGCCCGCCCCTTCATAATCTTCATCCTCCTCCTCTTCTTCTTCTTCCTCCTTGCCCCTGGGTTCCTCCTCTCCCTCTGCACCAGACTCCGTGCTCTGCCTTTGCTGGAACAGTTTTAAGCGTGCAGTGTGGAGCTCGTGGCAGAGGGTCGTGGTGGTGACGTTTTGGTGTTGCAGCTCACGACTCAGCAGCGTGATTTTGTGGCTTCTACGTTTCAGTTCCTCCAGGAAATGCCGCTCTTCCTCCCTCAGGTTCCTGCCCAGTGCTGATGCCCGAGCCCGACCCACTCGCAGCTCCCCACGTGCAGCGACCATCATGCACTGCTGCTCCTCCAGGAGATGCACGGCAGCCTCACAGCGTGCTACCAGCTCTGCTTCCTCCACTGAGAAACAAAAACACGTACAGGGTTGACTAAAGTATATATAAATAGATACTGTATATGTTCAGGAGATTATGTTTCCATTAGGGTCAGTTTTTCTATCCTTCATATCTCTTTCACTTCATCTGCTTGATCAATATTTTTCAGATTACATTTCATAAAATGTTCTTTTCACTGCACCCTTCTGTGCTCCTTCACACACTTGGAGGAACTTGACTGGATAATTATCATGGTTGTTGCAGAAATGAATGCAAAATCACAGTGCTTAATTGTTCTTGTGCATGCTGCTGAAAAATACATGACATTTCAGATATGTAAAAATGATTATTATAGTAATGCAAAGGATAATCTTGAATTACTATCAAAATGTTGAATTGTGCTTCGTCATGTTACACACTTTTTCTACACTTCTCTATAACTCCCTGATATCATTTCCTCATTGTCAGCCAGGAGTTGTTTTGTCTCACCTTCTGTGCTTCTGTCAGGAAACCTGGAATCCAGCTCACAGCTTAGCTCTGCAACCAGGAGGAGTAGAAGGACAACAGAAGACAGAAAAAGATAAAACAGACAGATGAGATTATTTTTGGAGCATTAACTGGAAACAAGGAAGCTGGAGACCAATCTGATGTCTGACAAAATAGAAATGTTTGGAAAAACCGCACCAGAGAAATGACAATGCAAACAGAGAAGCGTTCAGGCTGTATGCCACTGTCCGTTCTCCTGCATTCTCCCTGGGTCTGCATATGTAACCAATTATTAGGCTAATATGTAGAAAGTCTACTGTTTGAACATATTATGTGTAAGCCTATATATATTTATAGATCAAAGAATTAGTCAAATAAATAAAGGGACCTATTATGCTTATTTTCAGGTTCATATTAGTATTGTGTGCCTCTACTGTGACATGTTTACATGCTTTAATGTTCACAAAGTGCCTTGTTTTTCTCATACTGCCTGTACTGCAGCACCTCTTTTCACCCTCTGTCTGAAACCAGAGCCCAGTCTGCTCTGATTGGATAGATGGCCGGCTCTGTTGTGATTGGTCCACCGCTTAGATATGTTCCGCCCCTAAGCTTATCACACAATGTGTTGGAGCGATAGCCAAAAGAAGAGTGAGAGTTACATAGTGATGTCACTATGTTGCAGAAGTAAACAAAGGAGTCCAATGGAGGCGTTTCAGGCAGGGGACTTTGAACTTTGGGATTTTAGCCTATGCAGCCCAGTTGCATACAACACACAAAAGGAAAGGGAACACCCCAAACAGCTTTATAGGGCCCTGTTAACAACAGGTAGTCAAGACTGACCATGACAGCGCCTCTTCAGGTGTGTGATCTCCAGCTGCAGACCGGCCAACATGGCCAGGTGCTCCTGCTTCAGGAAGGCGATTCCTCTCTCCACACTGGCCACCTGCTGCTCCAGCTCCCCAGCATCCATGGCTGCACCGCACACAACCTGCACACAGAAGCATAGCTGAGGGATTTCCCAGTGTCCCAATTTGAGCTCTGATAAAGAGTTTGAATATTACACTGTTCATTGCATGCTAAACACATTAAAACACTACCATTTATCCAGCTAGTGATAACCATCTGTTAGTCTGCTTAATATTCTATCAAATTGAGATTTTCTGCAAGAGCTTTATAAGGTAATTTTCTTATAATCTAATGTGCAAGCACAACATCTTCAACAATCTCATGTAGTGTTATTTCTCCTTTATAAAAGCTGCTCACTTTCGCTCAGTATACCTGTAACATGCATTCTCCAGTCTGACCGTGGCCTACCGTGATACTGAAGCGGTTTCCGATGCAAAGCGCCTCTCATGGATGCTCGTATCGCCCCGCTATCTGTCCTCTGCAGCGGAGAGGCAGAAAACAAAAGAGCGAGACGGCGCTTCCTCTCTGAGCTCCCAGGTGAGCTGTAATGTGACACTGGTGCAGCAGGCGCTTTTCTTGAAGTGTGAATGAATCCTGCTGCAGTCAAAAATAACCTCCTCATAACCTTCTGGTTGTACGTGCAGTGCGGTCCCGCCGCTATTCACAACAATGCAGCCCGCTATGAGGAGCGATCAGCGCCGCGGACAGCAGCAGCAGCAGCAGCATGGGGAGGAGGAGCTCCGTGGAAATGAAGCTTGTCAGCTGGTGCAAACAGATAGATCATTTTATTCTTCAAGATGATGAAGTGAGTGAAGTGAAAGTATTAGAAAAAACTTGCATTTATTTTTTATTTTTTTTATTTGCATTTCTATTAATTATGTAATGAGAACAAACGTTTAAAATGTAGCCTATATGTAGAGAACTAAAACATATATATTTGTTATAATTTCAATATAAATATACAGTATGTTTGTATCTATTTATGGTTGTTGAATGTATACATATACACATATTGTCACGATCTGTCTGTGTTGTTGTTTTGTCTTGTCTTTTTCTATCTTTGGGTTTCCTGTTTTATTTTGTAAATTGTTCACCCCCGTTTTTCTGCCTGTTGCTTTCTGTCTGTTTTCCCTCTCTGATTACCCGATTGTGTTCACCTGGTGCCTCTGTGTTTTCTCCTCCCTCCTCACCTGTGTCTTGTTTGTGTGATTAGTCTTGTGTGTATTTAAGTTCTGGTTTTTCTGTCTGTCTTTGTCGGTTCGTCTTTCGTTTGTATGTGACTGTGTTCACCGGTGAGTGTTCTGTCTGTCCAAGTTCTATTAAAAGTATATCAGTTTAATCTGCATTTGGGTCCTGCTTCCTTCGCTCTACCGTGACACATATTCCTTTAGGGCAAAGGTGATATTTATATCATTCTTGTTGAACAATCTCTGGGCGGAGTGATGCTTATACGACAATACAAGAACAACTGTACAAGTTCAAATGTATTGAATGTATTGGCTCTGTTTGCTAAATAATAATAATACATATTATTTATATAGCGCTTTTCCTGGTGCTCAAAGCACATGATTATTAATGACATTATGGACATCGTCCCTTTAGTTGTGCAGAGTAATCGGCCATCAGTGACAATAAAACCCAAATACATTCTGACAGCAGGTATAGGCTACAACTAAAAGCATTATTTTCAGTGTTGCCAATTGCTTCCTGTGACTTGGTTGACGAGGCTAAGCCTCTCCTTCTTGCACTCCTGTTTGTCACTGATGCTGGGCAGGGGGACAGGCTCAATGCTCAGAGAGGTCTTATAGTAAGGGCAGACTTTGAGGTGGGCAGATATTGGAGGGACATCTGCCATATGCCATGATTCCACTGAGGAGAACAAGTGACTGAACTCCCATACCTAGAGAACAACAGAAGGAAAAGGAAACAGTTAGTACAGGATTTGTTATTACAAAACACTCAGTGGTTGTGTTGGATGATTTAGTAATTATATCTCACAGGTTTGGCCCTCCACTTGGCTCCTCCATGTGAGTATGTCTTCTTCTCCCAGCGGAGGGTGACCATGCCTCTCTCCTGCAGCAGAGAGGAGCTCACCTGCCTCATCAGCTGGGACACCAGAGCCAGCTGGGACAGAGACAGACTGTCCAGGAAACTGGCCATGTGGCAAAGCACCTCAAAGGGCAGTATGCTCAGAGAGTCTTCCCCATCTCCCCCTTTCCGACCTCCTCTCTTCCTCTGAGTGGTGGAGGGGTCCTCTGAGCTCCTGGACGACTGGGAGGTGTCACCTTCTGAGGCTGCGAGTGTCGGACGCAAGTTGAAAATCCTGAGCTGCTGACTGTGGGGAAGAAAATGCACTAGGTAGTATATTACCAGAAGGGGTCCTGCTTTATGATTGTGTTCACACTGTGTCGTGAAGTGTCAGCAGGTCAAAACTTTAATAGATTTTTGGGCTTTGCAGCACAGCAATCTGTATACACAACATTGACACGTCATCAAGTTGCTTATACACACCCAGCAGTTAAGCAGCAACATTATTATTAATATGGACTCATGTTGTTGCCACCTAGCGTATGCAAGTCCAATAATTCCTCTCTTTAAGCTCTGTTTTTGGTCTCCACCAAATCCTGAGGGAAATGTGTATCCCTTTAGATGCTAAATGCTCCACTTAGTCATAAGCTAGTCTCTGAATTTGCCAATATGCTGCTTAGTGCTGTGTAACTTATACATCTAATGACAGCAGTAAGATTGCTTCTGGTTGCATCACAATGAGTTCAACTTTGGTAAACTTTGGAAGGCAAAGCAGTGTGTCTGTGGTTGACCCAAATTGGCACTACCCACTTTCAGCACAAATACAGTACAGTGTGGTTATCAGTTGCCCATCAGTGCATGTGTGACTTTGTGCTAAACCTCTGTAAAACGAAGCGAGCTGCAGATTCAGGTGATAATTCTCGGTAAGTTCAACACTACGAGTTCACATTGTCACATTACTTTCACATTGTCATTTGATGCAATGTATCAGAGAAATATTAAAAGACTCTAAATATTGGAGTCTGAATGGGAAACAGTGCTCACTTGTAGGAGACGGTGGCATTATGTGTGGAGGGCTGAAACCTCTTCTGGCTGAAGGTGCATCCCAGGTATGATAGGGGGCATCTCTGCTCGAACCATCCACTCAGACTCGTCTGGATGTCACTGTGGACGTTCCTGGAAGATTTGACAAATCATTAATACTTTAATGTTAGTACTTTGCAATAAGAGGAATTCAGCAGGGGTCAAAACACAAACTCAGTCAAACTCAGACACCTGAAATGTGTGGCGAACTCTCTGCGGTGGAAGGTGTGACCGCAGAGAAAGGTGAAGGCACAGCCGGCTCTGGTGTTCCTGCCGCTCACTCTCTCTGACTGCAGCTGGAGAAGGAGCTTCAGCGGCCGGTCCACCATCGCTTCCGCCAGGGTCGTCTTCGCTTTAAACGGAGCCTTGCGGAACGAGTGCGTCTGCGTTCCTACATCCACATAAATCCCATCGGCGGCATTGGACTCACTGATCTGCAGGGAAACCAATCAGTCATTCAATGGTGGGCATACCACTTTTTGTTGTTGTTGAATAAGGGCAATGTTATCCACTCACTATCAAAATGAGGTTATTTAAAAAATCAAACTATTAAATCAGGTGTTTACTATAAAGGAGCTAATTTCTTACTTTTGTTACCATTTTCAATAGTATAAAACAATAATACAAATCAGACTGACCTTGTGACCCTTGACCTCTATCTCAGCGTAGCCCAGCAGGGTGGCGGCAGCTTCATCACTGAACCAGTCCTCTTCATCGACCTTGAGGTCCGATGTGTCCACACTGCGGGGCTCGCTCGGAGGTCGAGTCGAGTCATAGTAATGAACCCTCCGCCCACTGTAGTGATAGCTGTCGGGGATCTAACAGGAAGAAATATATTCACCATTAGCAGCCAAGCGAGTACAGTAACACGTCTTTTTTAGGTCAGTTTTATTGGTAAATGTTTTGTTTATTCCACTCTAACAGCCTCAGGTCAGTATGCCCTGTGACCAATTAAAAGAGAAATGTTTTGGGTTCGAGTTTCACCTTGAAAGTTTTGGCAGTTCAGTAGAAGTAGCCTAACCAGGTGAGTCAAGAGCAATGGAAGATAATGGACCTGGTATAACTGAAGTCAGGCTTTGGAAACCCTTAATTATTTTTTTTAGCAAAAAACATATAAAAGCTACTTAAAAATAAATTAAAAATAAATTAACCAACACATGTTTGATATTTAAAAATAATATTATAAAATTATAATATTTATGAAAACAACCACTTGCCCCCCCAAAAAGACAAAAGAAAAATAATTGTTTTTCCCAATGAACTCTTAGCTTTGAACCCTCACCTTGAAGGAGTGCAGGGTTTGGACTGGAATTGGCTCCAGGCTGCCGTAGACAAAATCGTCCTCCCTTGCTGTGCAGGCCTTGATTTTCCCGAAGGCAAGCAGCATGCTGCCATGATGCACCATGTACATGTTGAACTCCTGCGGGGTGAGCTCGTTCCCCAGACGCTCCATCACCCCCTCCTGCCACGGGGCGTGACCTCTTTGACCTGTGTCTGCAGCCGCTTCCTTTTTCTCTGTGTCCTTCTCTTCGGGCTTTGGGTTTTGTTTGGGATTGTCTTGGTTTGCCTGAGCAGCAGCACAGCCGCCTCTCTCCATGCTGAACATCATGTCACACAGGTTGTTTGTCCCTTTGAAGGGGCCTGAGATTTGCCCTAATCCGTTCTGTTCAACAACATTACTCCCACACGAGTTGCTTTCTGCAGAAACAGAAAACAGTGATGAGGTGAAAAAATAACTTCTATTATTTTGTGAGTTTAAAATATAGATAACATACCTTCATTAGTAGCTGTGTCTGTGTCACTGTTAACAAACCCTCCCATTGCAGCCTCTTCTTTATTCTCCTTCTTTTTCTCCTCCTCTTCTGCCTCCATCAACTCTGGATAGATAGGATTCATTTCCAGGCGTTCATAAAGGTCTGTCTGATCCACCAGGGCCATGGCGAGGTCTAGAGGCTGCTCCTGCCCTTCACTTTCCTTCAGCACGTTCTCCTGCAGGGCTATTTCGCTGTGAGGGTTTGTTTCGTCAATCGGCCACCGGATCCACTCCATGGAGCAACACACCAGGCTGGCAGGGCACACCTGGAGGTGAGATGCCTGTGAGGAGCGAGGCATGTGGAGCGGGCAGCCGAACCCAGCGTTGAGGCAGGGCACCCTCACGTTGGGGCAGAGCAGCAGGTGGTCCTCCTCTTTGCACAGGTGGAAGACAGCTCCACAGAGCAGGCGGCAGGGGATGACAGCGCAGCAAACAGAGACCTCCACCCGAGCCCTGCAGCGCCGACTGTAGCAGGAATCACAGTGGACATGCTGTCTCACGCTGGAGGCTCGAGTACGATCACTCTGATTGGGTTCACAGAGGAAGGAATTAAAGAAAAGGACAAACATATAAATACTGTTTATGAAACATCAAGGCTTTAACATATTTAAATTCAATAAGAATTACAACAAGAAAGTGAAGACTCACCATCTTTAGGTCGTTGAACCTTGTAATCCTGCAACAAAAATACATTACATTACTATTAGCTGATGCTTTTAATCAAAGCCACTGACAATAAGAACAGATACCTAAATCTGTAATGTTAACCTTAAAGAGGGAAATCACATGGCGAGTCATTTGGCTTAAGACATTTTTCTCTTGCGAGTGAATCTCTCCTCCCTGTTTTGATTGAATGTTATTTAGAGGCCTGACAAGAGTTTGAGCAAGTATTCATTTTGGTGTTTTATTGTTTTCATATAATGTTATCTCATGACCCCTCAGATGTAAACGCTGACCCTTCTAGTCCAACATACTGCTCGCTGTACAACAAATCAGCAGCACAGTTAAAACAGTCATGGGAAACCTGTTTCACTTGCATTAAACTCTAGAAAAACATTCAAATGTATTCCTTCTTCTTTCTCACCTGATACTCTAAGAAAGCAGTAATCTATATTTCCTGTGGCACTGTGAAAACAAGATAGACATAAGCAGCTGAAGTACTTAAACTCTACAGTTGTATTACATGTCTGAGTAGTATGACGTTTGTAATTAGGATCAACACACATAAACGCAATCAAATAGTTCAACCCATTCACAACGAGAACAAATCTTATCTTATCAAAGGTCTCACCAAGGTCCCACTGCAGACACGTTGCGTCCTTCTCGATTTGTAACGTTGCTTTCAGTGCGTGTGCGCTTTGAACTGGCGGGTTAAAATTAGATGAGCAGCACCAAGCAGGTTCAGCAGGAGGAATAACGCCTCCCTACCCTCCGTTTAGTTTATGCAATGGATTCAAACCACAGCCAGCTCATTTTGATAAATACTTCCTATCTGAGGGCTGAAAGAATGTGAACCTGTTTCCAGGTGCACATCCAGAGTAAAGTATATGGATTTGACACACTGAATACATTTCTCCTAGAGGACACTGTTTGGATATTAGCCTTTTTTCCCTGCATGTGGAACTCAATTATAAGCACACCACAATAACAAACAGAGGGGAGAGGGTTAGAGAGTTTTCCTGATGTAAGCGTCTGAGGCTGCTGGTAACTCAAACCATGTTTCTGACCACCTGTGAAACATTTCTCGGTCCGTCCTCTAAGCTCTATTAATAACACACACATAGCAGAAACACACACACTCACAGAGACACTTGGTCTTTAAAGTTCAAGACGGAGCATGTTCTGTCATTTGTATTCTCTTACAGCGGATATGCTAAAGACTGTACTTCACTGCTGCCCATTGAATGCCACAGGACTCTGCTGCCAGTGTGTGTTCACATGCAAGACTTTGAGATTGTACGTTTCTTCTTTGTTTGCAGGATTGACCAACAGCTTCAGATACAAAACTGGTGCCAGAAGATCTGAAGCATGGTATGGTTGGATTTTGTAACTAAGATATTTTTTACTGTTGTAAATTCCCCTTTTGTGGGAGAAATAAAGGAATTCTGAATCTTAATGAGTTTATATCCCTTTATAGCATTAAGGGGGTTAAAATAGTAGACCATATTCTGTTTTTACAAAAAGGGAAATTAACTTAAAACACAGTTCTGTTGATTTGAACGATGTTTGGCTGCAGAGCACGAGTTTGACCCTCACACCACTTGTTGGGCTCACTGGAGTAAATAGAGGTTAAAGAAACAATGAGTAGGATTTTCCTAATCAAGAATTTTAGACTCGTACAAAAATAATCCTTCTCAATTATCACTTATGACCCACAGGAAGTGTGTTGCCTGTATTTGCAGGTCTGTCCTCGGCATGCTTTTTAAACAGACAGAAAGCTATGAGTTATTGTCAGACAGCAAATCTGGGTTTACACTCACTGGAAAACATGAATGGTGTGATTACAAAGTCCCAACCAACCGATCCAACTCACTGGCATGCTTCATGATGGCTTTTTTTATCTGTAGCTGGCGTTAAACTGTGGAATGATTTAAAGGGCTTTATCGACATCTTTAGGATTAAGAAAATGTATAAATAAATAATAATTAGACAGCATGGAGATGTCAGGTAACCCGTTTCGCTGATTGTTGTGGTGACTTTTGATTTAGTTTTTTGGGGTTTCAAGTGACTGTAAATTGTGCTTGTAAGCAGCTGTGATTGATACATCATCTAATTTGATTAAGCTGCAGGTAAAATAAGACTTTCTTCTCCCTGCATCTTTCCATCATGGGCTATTAAAAAAAACCAGCTTGAAGTGTATGTGTGAGTTTTGGTCAGTGTTCCTAAGGGTCGGGAGGTCCTATCTCATAAACATCATTTATATTTTGTCCTTTTCTTTAATTCCTTCCTCTGTGAACCCAATCAGAGTGATCGTACTCGAGCCTCCAGGGTGAGACAGCATGTCCACTGTGATTCCTGCTACAGTCGGCGCTGCAGGGCTCGGGTGGAGGTCTCTGTTTGCTGCGCTGTCATCCCCTGCCGCCTGCTCTGTGGAGCTGTCTTCCACCTGTGCAAAGAGGAGGACCACCTGCTGCTCTGCCCCAATGTGAGGGGGCCCTGCCTCAACGCTGGGTTCGGCTGCCCGCTCCACATGCCTCGCTCCTCACAGGCATCTCACCTCCAGGTGTGTGCTGCCAGCCTGGTGTGTTGCTCCATGGAGTGGAACCGCTGGCCGGCCAATGACGCCCACTCTTATCCGAACACGGAGCTGCATGAAAACCTAATCAGGGAAAGGGAGCAGGGCGGATGTCTGGACCTGGCAATGGCCCTGAAAGACCAGGACCTGCTATTTCACTCCATGAAGATGAAGAATTTGTTCCCAGAGCTGACCCAGAGTGTGGATGAGGTGGAGAAAGAGGAAGAGAAGAGGAAGAGGAAGCAGAAGCAGAAGAATTGGGCAACAGAAAAGGCCTCAATGGAGGCAAGTTCTCAATCCTTGGCGCCTTTTCACACGCTTGTCATGAACAACAACGTTGAAATGAAATATGAGAATGAAGATGAGGTTGAGCTTACTCAGGAGGAGAGACTCTGGACTATGGACTCAACAGTTGATGCTGATCTCTTAGAAAACTACAACGCCTGGGAGCGTATGTTCAGTAAGGACATGGGTGGCTGCAGGGAAGCAGGAAAGACAGCCAAAGACCAGAGTCGTTCTGCAGGGAGAGGAACAGGTCTAGGGACTCTAACAGAGGAAGACACAGAGGATAACTGTGGGGGTGCAGCAGCCTCGAACACGTGCACACAGGGGAGCAGTGCATGCATTGCTTCCAACTCCTCTTCTAGTCTCGCTGGCAAACTGAAGCAAAAGGAATTTGTTTACGGATATGTAGAGCCCATGAAGATTATCACTGTGCGGACCTTTAAAACCCCAACCAGCTTCTCTGCAAAGCATTCCCGCATCCGCAACCCTGGCTTCTACAAGAGGGAGAAAAAAGCTGTGGACACCAGCGACCTGGGGGTGTCCCTGCAGGAGATGCCAGTGTGGGAGGAAGTTCAGGTCAGAGACAAATTCATACCACTTTTAAACACACAATATGAAATACCACTAGGTGAAAACAATAGCATGGTTTGATTGCTTACCTGTGATCATAGCAGTGGCGGTTCTAGACCAATTTGACTGGGGGGGCCACTGGGGGGCCAGTTATTTTCTGAGGGGGGCACAATAAATGCAGGACGAAAAAGAGAACTAGACAGTAGGAAGTAATTGCGCATACGAAAACAATGCAATCCAGTTATTGGTATTTGTTTCAGTACACTTATTTATTACAGATATATCTTATAGTTATTACTGTTAGCTTCAGCTTAAGTTATAGTACAATTTTTGCACTAACACCATATCATATTTATATAAAAATAAAGGCAATGAACAGTTACATCTCTACTTTACATCTACAATTACACGGATACAATAGTTTAAATCACCTTCAATTATCGTGGTAGTCTCTCGAAACGTAGGTTTCAATCAGTCTTTCTTGGATGCAACAGCCTCTGATGATCCAAGATGAAAAGTGTTTGTTTTTCGCGCGCTTCAGCCGGACAGTGAAAGTGAGTGCACCACTCTAATGGGTCCTGAGTGCACCGCTCTAATGGGTCCGACTAGAATGACGAATAACATTAGTTCCGCCTATTCCGTCATTCAATAAATTGTATAATAAATCATAAATTGTTTTCACTTTTCATTTTTAGGGGGGGTCAGAGGTCAGTGTTAGGGGGCACTGGCCCCCCTGGCCCCCCTAGAACCGCCCCTGGATCATAGTAGTCTATCATTACTTTTCCTGGTGAAGACTTGCTGTATGGCTAAAATGGCTAACAATTCCAGTAGAGCTGAGGGGAACTGCAGTGGAGTGATAATTACCTGTGGACTTAACAGTATTATCTCTAAGACAGAGAGAACTTTTCACATCTTACCTTTTTGTATAAAAGCATTACCATGACAAATTCACAATCCTTTAAAAATATGTGATCGAATATAAAAGAAATTCAACATTATCCATTATCCTTTTAGTCAATTATCTAAAATGCCTACATATATTTGGGTTTGAGGCTTTAGATTGGAAAAGTAATGTATAGTTTCATTTTGGGCTCTGGTGCATTGTGAAATACATTTTTAATGTTCTATAAGCTGTTCCGAAAGCATTCAAGATGACAAAAATACTATTATCTATCTTTCTTCTATGCAAAAAGAACTAGACACACAGAGCATCTTGTTCACTGAAACCCCTCCCACATGATTTATCTATTTATCAAAAGAATAACTGATGTATCACTGTGTTGCGTTGGATTTGCTCCTCAGGCCTCTCTGCTGTGCTCCCTGGAGAAGGAGCAGAGGGGTCACCTCATCGCAGAGAGCAGGTGCATGGACGGCCTGTTACAGGACGAGGGAACGCAGACTTACAACTTCCTGTCTTCCCCGTTCCTGAGAAACACATCGCTGGCAGATCTCACTGCTGCTAAACCTCTGGAGCTGCATCTCCAGCTGCAGGTGGAGAGCGTCACCAGCCGGCACCACAAGGCCAGCTCCGCCTTCACCTTCCTCTGCGGACACACCTTCAAACGCAGAGAATATGGCAAACATTATAAGTGGGTTTTGATTCTGGGTATCCAATTATCTTTGGAATTCATATTTTTTTATATTCTTGCCTGCATTAGTTTAATTAATTTAAATAAGAAAAAATGAAATGTATTGTGTATTAGAGACTTATATTACCAACCCTATAACCTTCTTTCAGAGGTTTTAAGAGTAAGAGGTTTTAGGAGAAGCACAGTGAGTAGAAGAGGGGAAGCATTAGATGAAGTCAATACATACATACACATAAAAAAACATGCGTGTCATTTTGTAAAATAGATGCGGACATTTGAGTATTTTACGGTTTCTCTTACTTTCCCAGAGCCTGAAAATAAACAAAGCCTTAGTAAAGACAATATAAGGCTTTCTTGGCCCAATTGTTGATTGTCTTCTGGTTTAGATAAAACTAAAAACATAATCAGGATACCATAGGAATCCAGAAACTTAGTGAACTACCAAGTAAGCTAAGTGGGGATGACAGGGCACCTTTTTCCAAGCTTTGTTCAAAGGGGGTCCATAAGTGCAAACCTTGAAACCCACAATTTATTCTATTCTGTAGAAAGTCAGTGACATAATCAGATTTTTCATAATGCACTAAAAACACCATCTCTCTGTCACGGTGAGACGAGAAGAATCCCTAGAGATTAAAACTTCAAATCAATTAATATGTCTGTTATTTATATATTAAATGATTGTAGCAATTATCAATATGCTCTCTCATGCAGGAACGTCCACAGTGACATTCAGATGTGTGTGAATGGATGGTTCGAGCAGAGATGCCCCCTATCATACCTGGGATGCACCTACAGCCAGAAGAGATTTCAGCCCTCCACACATGAAGCCACCGTCTCCTACAAGTGAGATACAACGTTTTAATATAGTGTAGTATACTGGCGCACCCTTTTTCTTTGTTTCCTTTTCTACAATTACTTGCAGATAAATTACACTCAACCCGGTCAAATCCAGTGCTTTTAACAGTTTCCACTCTGCTTTCAGCGAGGACATCGGCTGCTATAGCCTGAATCCCACCTCCCCCTCCTCTCTGGGTGACACCTCTCAGCCGTCCAGGAGCTCAGAGGACTCCTCCACCACTCAGAGGAAGAGAGGAGGTCGGAGAGGAGGAAGAGGAGGGGAAGACTCTCTGAGCTCGCTGCCCTACGAGGTGTTGTGCCACATGGCCAGTTTCCTGGACAGTCTGTCTCTGTCCCAGCTGGCTCTGGTGTCCCAGCTGATGAGGCAGGTGAGCTCCTCTCTGCTGCAGGAGAGAGGCATGGTCACCCTCCGCTGGGAGAAGAAGACATACTCACATGGAGGAGCCAAGTGGAGGGTGACGGAGACGGTGAGTAATTACATACATATACATGCGTGGCTTGTTATCACCAACATCTAGGTAGTTAAAAGTATGTCATGTGCATTAAACAGAAAGTCGTCTTTGTTAGCCTATTTATAAAAAAGGTCAAAATGAAGGTGAGTGTAAAGATAAAATGAGAGCTAATTATTGCATGTGCATATTCATAAAACAGTTCCGTCTTATCTCACATTTAATATTTGATTATATTCCCTTCAAGCATATTTCTTTAGGAGAATATTGAATGTAAACAAATAAAGATTAAACCACCTGGAGTCCAAAAAAATCTCTACCTTCTGCTGAGAACACATGTTAATAACTAAAGATGACTTCGATGACTAATTCAACATGTTTATCATCTTTACCTCATTTGGTGTTTGGCTGTATACAGTCAAAGGACACCACTTAAGGTATACAAATCAAGCTACACATAATAAATAGGTTTTTAACAAGTGACAATGTCCCCCCATCTCCGATGGAGTTACATCATTGGCCAAAGACTGAATATTCAGATCCGTCTCTCTTACCCGTCTCTCCTCTGTGACTTCAGGTCTGGCAGTTCAGCACTTTGTTCAGTCCCGTCGACTCCTGGTGCTTCCAAAACGTGCCGCCCATGTCCGAACACCTGAAGGTTTGCCCCTGCTATGAGAGAGAGTCACGGACAGAGAAGATCCACCTGCCGCGCGTCAAAGAAGAAGTCCAAACCAAGACAGGCTGCAAAGGTCCCTCTCTCATTACCTTACTCCAAAAGACGATGATGATGTAGTGCCATTTTTATGTATTTGTTTAAAACAGGGCCATTCTTTTTCTGTTAATTTCTCTCCCGCCTATGCACCATATTGCTGCTTTTCACTTTCATTAAAAATGAAGTTTGAAAATGCCAATAAAAATAAGAAAACAATTATTAACATTTTTGTGATTCAATTACTTTATAGAAAATAAGGCACATGTAACATTTAAAATGTCTTTGTAGACATTAAATGTATTGCTTTGGAATGACACAACATGAGTAAATACAAAATACAAAAATTAAGCAATATTTTGAAGTACGCGGTAACTAAAGTCAAGAGACAATTAAATAGAAAATAAATATCCTTAGTTAACCAAATGTAAACAAAAAAGAGAATGTAAATACAATTTAAGTTATTCAAGTTATTTAGTGGTTTATTGAATCCACACTCAAAGAAAAACATCACATGAAATGCTGAAGTTATGTAATAAAATTAGATGAAAAGTCAACATTTTAGGCATAATTGTTTTTGAGTCTACATTAGAGCTTAAAGCAGCTCTTGTGTGATTATTTTGTATGTCTAATTCCACAAAAGACGTGATATGCTATGCTTCACTTTTTACTATAATGATGAACATTATAAGTAAGAACATAATAAGTCTGTGGTCAGGCCCGTCACGAGGTAGAAAACTGGACTGGAGTCATTTTGGATCAGAGAACTGTCTCCCTCTAAAGGTCCCCGCTGGTGTTGTGTGTGTTGCTGATGAAGTCGGCCCTGATCAGTCTGTACAGCAGCACCACGTTCATGATGGAGATGAGGCTCAGGCCCGTTGCTCCCATCGTCAGGACGAAGCGAGGCATGTGTTCACTGTGAGCTACCAGCCAGCGGGTCATCCAGCCCACCGTGCAGACACGAAACACAAACATCCTGCAGTGAGACAAAGAAGCTGTGAAGACCTTTTTAACAAATGCTTTTAATAAACGACATTACTCGTGAAATGTGCAATGAAAGGCAGCTCCTGATATGTTACGTTGGACAGAGCCTGGGTTTTTATGAAAATGTGATTTCATATATTATTTTTAATAGTAGATTTTAGACACGCAAACCAGAAGCAAATGTCTGCTTTTTGGATGCAAAAAGGAAACATGTCACAGAACAGGCAAATACAAATATGAACCTGAAAGTTAGCATACTATGTCCTCTTTACATGTTATTTATATAAAAGAGCAGCTGCAATAGGATATTCATTTAGTACATTTAGCATATGACAGGCCATTCCTTTTCTAATGAAAATTACAACACACGCTAATCTGATTCTCATGTGAGCAGATGTTCGCATGTTACATATTTAAATGTAAAGGTTGAAATTTGAAAGGATTTTGAAGGAACTTTCAATTATTCACATATGAACCATTATCCACAAAGATGTTTCATTTCTACTTGTGTGAAACCAGCAGAGGAGATGCAGCACTTACGTTGCCAGGGTGAGCCAGCTGGTCACGCTGTAGGTCACAGACGGGCGAGGGGTGGTGGTGTCCGTCCTGTTCCTCCGTCCTGACAGGAGGAGGAGCTGTCGGATGTGAAGGAAGACCGAGTTGATCTCAATCAGCAACGACACCACACAGTAACCCACGTAGAGGCGGGACGTCAGGGCCAAACCGAAACAGGACAGCACCTGAGAGGAGAGTTTTAAACAAAGACACACATTAAGAGACATGCAGCAACATTTTTTTATTTAAGTAAGACAAATAAAGGTTTCTTAAGATCAGTTTTAGTGACTCATAGTTCTGCAGAGTTTGTTCTTAGTTTAACAGTGTGTTGAAATGTATTTAAATGGTTTATATTATGTAATAATGTTGAAATGAAAGTAAATCGCTTATTAATTCATCATTATACATTGTAATAATAATTTAGAAGTACAGGTTACAGGTTGCCAAGTTACACAAATTACACTTGGCTGGCTTCATATTCCATCTCTATAATTCAGCAGAAAGTCCTCTGACGTTGAACATTTTTGTTGTGACTTTTGTTGTGTAGCCAAGACTTTTTAGATTTGATTTTTGGCAACCATAAAGTCCTATGACTTATCAGAAACCCCCCCCACTCAACACTCGCAGACATTAAACTGTAAAGAATGAGTGGTGATCAGGATGTAGAGATAAATGCTTTTACTACCTCTCCTCATAAATATAGCTAATGAAAAGAGATGCACTGCAAAGGAAGACACATCAGCAAACACACACACCGGTCTTATGTTGAACAATGTTGAGACACTGAAGTCACACACACAATAAAGCAGCGAGCGGTTTTACTGCTGCAGGTGAATGAGGACTTGACCTCTGCCGCCTCGGAGATTAAACTGTCACACGGATCAAGGCTGAACACCTGCAGCTTCAAACAGAGGTGAAGGATGAGTGTGCGATTTCGTTCACTGACCTCAGCGTTATCACAACACAGATATGAAAGGGCTGGAGACATTAAGAAGAAGTAAACCACAATGTAAAGTGACTCCATTACATGTAAAGTACTCCAAGTTTAACTAAATAAATAAATAATCACATGAAAAAAGAATGAATTAATTACTTTTACACTTCATAAACAGCATAATGATGTCCAATGCAAGTCAAGTACGACAAAACACACAAGTTTCTTTGGCCGAATGCAGTATCTCCAAATTACCTGAATTATGCAGTCGAACTGAAATCGTTGGTTTATATTCAGGTTTTGAGTCATTCTTGCAGCATTTTTGTATTTGGTTGTGTTTTCTGTATTAGCAGCATGTTTCTGTAGGAGTGTGCATTGGGAAATCTTTGCTTTGGGATTTTTTCATTTGCAATATGAACTCTCTGCGACAAATGTACACACACACACACACACACACACACACACACACACACACACACACACACACACACACACACACACACACACACACACACACACACACACACACACACACACACACACACACACACACACACACACACACACACACACACACACACACACACACACACACACACACAGTATTACCGCTGAGTGGTGGAGGAGCACCTCCCAGGACTGTTTACATGGCCGATTCAAGGCCACGTCCAAGAGGTCATGGATAAAATAACCTAAGAGAGGAGGAAGCAAAAGCATCATCTTTATATTCATTCACAAAACACCATGAAATGTCAAAAACATTCACTGTTTAGTTTGAGCATTGTTCGAACTGTATTAATACATCTTACAGAAATTAGGTTTAGGTGGGTGAAATTGTTCAAATATTTATAATTTCCACACTTATATTTTGTTACTTTTTTACAGTTGGGACCTGGTATGGTCAGCATATGATTTGTAGTGAGGAAAAATATCTTTGACTCGATACAATCCAGTAACAGATTGTAGCATGATCTAGATGTCCTTGTTGTAAAACACTTAAATATAAAGCCTATTTATACTTTGTTTATTCAGAAAGTCATATTCATTTGGAGTTCTCATTTGTATTTGAGACGTGTGTACAGAGAATCTAAAAAATAAATGACAATGATAAAGAATATTGTAATAAAACAGCAATAATTAAATATACTTAGGCAACATACAGACAACAGCATGACACATTGAAAATACATTGTGGATTTAATTTCCTGTATAATTCTCATTGGGTGAAATTACTTATTGTCTTCTAAAGTGTGAATGTGTGGATATTTGTGTTTTGTCACCTGTAGACACAGCTACAAGACTGTGAGAGAGCAAGGAGTGACGGGAGATTAGGTCCTCCAACAACTGAGGTTGAAGGTAGAAGCTGCATAGTGAGAGAGAGAAAACACATGAAATACAAAATATTTATAGCTCCAACACTTATAACTGTCTGTACGCACCATAAAACAGCCCATGCTCCACTCAGCGAGCTGTGAGCTAGAGAGGTGCTGATGTTCCTCCACCTCCACGACTTGTTCAGCGCCTGCTCCGGTGTTGGCAGGAATCTTAGGATCGTGTTCAGCAGTTTGAAAGAACAAACAGATCCTGCGACTACCAGAAGTGTTGACTTTAAATCCATAATCGAGAACCTGGAGTCTATAGTTCACTTTAAATCCCAGGTCCTCATGTGTTCAGGACATATTTCAGCTGCAACACACTTTGGAGAGGGAGAGAAACACGCTGCTGAAGTCTTTCACACAAACACACACAAACACACACTGCCCTTTAACACACTGCCCTCACTTGAAGTGACAATCTGATCACAGGTCGCGGTCACACAACGACATGACATCAAGGCACAATTCGCTCCCTGTCCCAACACATACAAAACCTACCAACTATTTATTTGCTCCACTAATCTAAAACAAACATACATAGATGCCTCAAAACGACTAAAATAAGAAACAGGTCTCCATGCGTAAAAGGCCATTTCTGCAACCCCAGGCAACCATGCCATCTAATTTAACAGTTATCTAATAGACCATCAATTATCATATCAAACCATTAAACAAAGACACTGCAATAACTGTAAAAGCTATACATAACTTACTCATTAATGCAATGAGAAAATGAACTAAGGGACCTGTGACATAAAGCGTAACTTAAGTACTGTTCGCCTTCTTCTTATTTTGGGATTTTATTTTTATTTTTGAGTATTACCGGTTAATTTATTCGTCACAGGCAAATATTGTACTTTGTATTCTATTACTTGTATATATTATTATTATTATTGTTATTGAATAATAATAAATGGTGCATTTTTCCAAAATGGGTCGATGGGCAAAATGTGTGCTATTACTTTTGGTACTTTATACTTTGACGATATTACTTTTAAATGCATTACTTTTAACTTTAGAACATGTAATGAATATTTCAATTCTGGTACTAAAGTTAGAAATTATATTTTTTTCCACCATTTCACAGTAACGCACAAAAGTAAATCATTTTAAAATCTTGAGCTTTGCAGTGATGAATCTTGAAACTTGAAACGATGTGTGAATGACAGTCGGCTACCTCTAGTTTTGTAAGTTATGCTTTGTTGCCGGTCCATTCAGTGTCGGCTGCCTCGTCAGCCTTTCTGTTTGCTTCCGCTGTGAAACACAAAGCACCAGCGATGCCTTTCTCTGCAACAACAACAACAGGGCTGAACATGACCACTGACATCACACCAACTGTTCATTCACCGGAGTCCCAAAAGTTACTTTTTGCTTGATTTTTTCTCGTCTTAGGCTTTCAAACCCCCTAGAAACGTCCACTTTTTACACTTTGTTTCCCAGGATCAAGGGATGAGGGTTGGGGATGGACCGGTTGCCGTGGAAACTGACTTCTACTATCCCATCATTGAGCTGATGTGCAGGAAATGAATTGGACTGTTGCAAAACAAAAACCATCTCTGAACAGAGCATCCGCGTCACTGTGAATTTCTCTGGAGGTTTGTGTTTCTTCGTGGGGTTAACGCTGAATCAGAGATATGTCTGGGAACAAAACATGTGAGTAAACTGTCTCAATATCTATTTATTTCAATAACAGTCAGGTGTTTTTATCCATCTTTCACTTAATTTAACAGCAGTCTAATCACTGGGTGTCTGAAATGAAAGTAATGATCTTTATCAAGGGAAAACTACATTTAAAACTGTAGTCGGTTATAACTTATTTGAAATGTGTGTGCATGTGTGTGTCTATTCATGCATGTGTGTGTTAGCAGCCCGTGAAGAGCTTCCGGACTCTGATCCAGAGGACTCATCAGAGGAGCTGACGGAGGTGGTGTGTCTAGAGTCGGACCTGAAGGATGGACAGTAAGGAGGAGAAAACCGTTTTTTATAATATATATATATATATATATATATATATATATATGTCTTTCAGAGGAAATAAAATGTATCACACCTTTAACTTAAGCATGAGTGCAAATACCACAGTGTAAAAGCATTCCTGCATTAAAATTCATTAGAAAGACGTTTCAGCAGGAAAAGGTCCCCTAAGTGTGTGTGTGTGTGTGTGTGTGTGTGTGTGTGTGTTACCTCAGGATGATGGAGGTGGAAGTGGGAAACCACAGTGTGCTGTTGACACGCAATGAAGGCAGATACAGCGCCATTGGTCACCAGTGTACACACTATGGAGCTCCACTCAGCAAAGGTAAAGAGGCACATCCACATAGATTTAGTATTTCACTATTGTCCCTTGATTCACACATGACTCTTTGAGGATGGGATGCTTTCATCTGTGGAAGCTGTATGTTGCCATTTAGACAGACACAACAGTTATATGTAAAGCCCTAGTGTACATTTTAAAATACAGCCTTTTCACACATGTTGTATATTTATTCTTCTTAAATAATTGCTTTCTTTCCTAACACTGTCATTGTGCGGTCAGGATTTATTTCAGGCAACACAGTGCGCTGCCCGTGGCATGGAGCCTGTTTTAACATCCATACAGGGGACCTGGAGGAATACCCTGGCATGGACTGTTTACCGTGCCACAAGGTACAAACCACACAGACATATAGCATCTATTAGGGGACTGCTGTCATTTTAATGTAAATAAACATGTATTTTTGTTCCTCTTTTTAAGGTCAAAATTCAAAACAAAAAAGTGTATGTGTCTATTAACAAAAAGGTAAGTAGATTTACTTTTCTTTTTCAGTTGGTGTCATAGTGGTCCTCACAATTGCAACTTGACTTTTTCCAATATGGAAAGTAGGGATGCCAGAAACTGACCATGATCAAATTCGAAAATCGGACAGCCCTGGCGAATATTAATCGATTATTCGTCGCCAGCATTAGTCTATATTTTGGTTGAAACTAAGCCAGGGAAAAAAAGAAAAACATAAGTAATAACACAAAAATCTATAAATAAAATCGAATTCAAAAAAATAATTTTCGATTATGGAGACTGTAACGAATATTCGAAAAATCGAATAATCGCTGGCATCCCTAATGGAAAGGAGGGAGCACATCATGATAAGGTGTTGTGATGGCTAATAATTGTGTGTTATCCTGAATTACAATGTAACAATGGTGCAAATTAAAAACATTTTAAACCATCAGCTGCTATACAAACTCCCTCTCAAATCAGAACAAGAGGAATTAATATGTGGGTTAGAAACTATCTAACAGGGGGAAAGAAAACTCTTGTAATGATTCTGCGACCAACAAAAGCTATTTAAGTATTCTCCTTCTTTACTTTTCCAGTTGATTTTGCAAAATAACCCACTCTATTCTCAAGTTAAGCTAATTGTACATATGCTGGGAATAAAACAAGTTCAACACACCTCAATTAGGCCTAGTTAGTTGCTAACTAAAAAACATGGGCTGAGAGTTTGAAACCCACTGTAGCCAAAGTTGTCAAAACGATGTCGAATTACAAATTATTGTTAAGACGTAGACTACAAATGTTACCTTCGTAAAAACAAAAACGTAGTAGGCTATTGTGAGTTTGCGATGTCTTGTGAGTTTACAATAACGATAAATATAATAATGTTGCTTGAAATTCAGAGCTTTCCAAAGCACCCTAAATGCACCATGATTTCAGGGAACGCGATAAACAAGGACAAGAAGACGTCAAACTTCACCTTTTACAGTCACACTGACACAAATCTATGTTTTTGAAAAAGTATTTCACCAAAACAAACCTAAACAAGCAGAGTTTGGCTACTTACGGTTCTACAGTAGTCACATTAGATGAGGGCCAGGCTGCAGTCGAATTGTCAGTTTGACTTTAGGAACCTTCCTAACGGAGTGAAATGACCCGGAAGTACCTCAGTGGTAGCCATGATAAGAGCCGTTAAAATTCTCTAGAATCAGGGGTGTCAAACTCAAGGCCCGGGGGCCAAATCCGGACTGCGACTTCATTCTTTGCAAGTGCTTGCAAAGAATATAATAGACAATACAATTCAAGGCTTTTATTGTCATATGTACATAGCTACATGTGTAGTTATGACAATGAACATCTTAGGCCACAGGCTCCTCAAACAGTGCAACACAATCAAAAATAATAATAGTGCAAGTAAATGAAATAAAATATAATATAATAAAAATAGTGCAGAATAGTCTATGTAAAAGTAATTGGAATATTGATAAGTTGCAAACAGATGAATGTGATGGATGTTCTTTCAAAAGTTTTGATATAATTGTTGAATATTTGCTTTCAATGATGTGCCCTAGACTTCTGCTTTCAGACGTAGTTATTTATGAAGTTATTACCAGAACTGATAATAATCCAATGCAGAGCAAATAATATAATATAATACATTATTTAATATATATTTATATATGTATATTTATATAGTCTTAAAGTTACAACCGGCCCCTTTGAGTGCAACCATAATGCTAACGTGGCCCGCGATGAAATTGAGTTTGACACCCCTGCTCTAGATGATAGGAAAGGAGGTTTGAAACTTCCTTTATAACCTCCTTTAGCTCAGGAAACAGTGGGTTGCGTTCCGATAATCCAAAAATTAGCTCCTAAATTCTAACCCTATCTCCTATTCCTTGACCTCTGAGTGAAACGTCACTGCGGTGCTTAGAGAATCTGAATGCACTTTCACTATCCGACGTGTTTATGATGCGCCAGCGGACGTCATGAATGTGCGTCTGCTGCTGTGGGGAAACTACAGTTTTCTATACAGCGGACTACAACATGGATGTATAATAAGAATGAGGGACTACTGTAAACTCATCTAGAGACTCTGCACCGTGCTCTGATGCTGTTGCTTTATGCTTTATGAACGTGGACAACAGAGAAACATATTCTTCATGACCAAAGTTGGAATTGAAATAAAAAAGGAAAGTGAAACTTATGCTCGTCACCCTCTCCCTCCGGTCCACATCAATACAAATGATCCCAATACGTATGATTGTATGAACTATTAAAAGATCTTAAAATAAATACAAATGTATTTATTATAAACGTTAGTCCTTAACATCTATCACTGTGTATATCACCATTCAAACATCTTTTAAAAGTTGAACAACCCCACACAGCTCAGTGAAATGTTGACTTTATTTGATCATTTCAGTAAAAACTAACATTCATATTTCTCTTTTTGATTATAATACTGATGAACGTTCAAAACAAAGCACTTTGGCAACTTACCACATACGTTTTAAAATGCGTAATAAGCACCGTAACTTTCATGATATCATTTCTCCCATTATCGTTTGTGTCCGTGAACGGCCGACTGTTGAGTGACGGCAAATGCTGCGGCTGCAATGCATTGTGGGGCAGCATTTTCTCCTCTCCTTTCGGTTAGGGAGGTCCAGTGGTTCCTAAACTAAAGGAGGTTATAAAGGAAGTTTGAAACTTCCTTTCCTTTCATTTGGAGAATTTGAACGGCACTTATCATGGCTGCCAGTGACGTACTTCCGGGTCATTTCACTTGGTTAGGAAGGTTCCTAAGCTAAATGGACTATTGGAATGGGCCCCTGGACCTTCCTTTATGAAAGGAGAAAATACTGCCCCACAATGCTTTGCGGCGGCAGCATTTGCCGTCACACAACATTCGGCTGTTCACGAAAACAACCGATTATGACCAATAAATTAGTATCATGAAAGTTACGGTGCTTATTAAGCATTTTAAAACTGATGTGGTAACTTGCCAAAGTGCTTTGTTTTGAACGTTCATCACTATAATAATCTAATAATCAAAAGGAGAAATATGAACGTTACTGTTTTACTGAAATGATCAAATAAAGTCAACATTTCACAGTCTTTACTGAGCTGTGTGGGGTTTCTTAAACTTTTAAAATAAATAACTTTAATGGAAAGTGACCGTAGATAGATTACTTTAGTTGCAATTTGGTGCTTTATATATATATTTTAAAAAAACACCTTGAATTTCTTGGGGGGGCGCGGGGCTCCGTTGGCGGGGCGCCAAGACAATGGTAGGGGAAACACTGGGCTTTATGAATGCATTACATCATTTTATTTTGCTCACACACATTTTTAGATATCTCATTAAGAACTGGGCCTTGCATTATCTTCTTGTTTCGTATGAAGCTCTACAATCATATATTAAAAATATATATATTATATTCATTGTGTTTATTAGGCTAACTTTTCAATGTTTAGGGAGGTTAAGGGTTATTTGTAACGTGGCTATTTGGATAGTGTGTTAAAGTTAAACTCCCAGAAAATAGTCAACATGTAATCAGCAAACATGGCATGAACAATCGTCTGAGTTTAACTTTAGGAATCGTTTTTATAAATGGTGTACCTTTTTCTTTGAATTGTCTGATGTAGTAAATAATAGAAGAAGACATTTAGTCTAAAAGTCACCCTTTTTATTTGCAATGATAATAATAGGTATTGTCATTGATGACTTTAAGTTGTGTTTTCTACATGTTTCAGACCCTCAGGCAAGAAAAAAGAGTAAAGAGTATGGGGGCTTTGGTACCAGGAGTTAATCAGACTGTGCTGCTGCTGGGAGGAGGTGAGTGTGGCCGGCTCCAATTGATTATACAGCTCTGGAAAATAATTAATACACTACTGCACTTATCTGGTTTTACTCATTTGTTTGGTATGTCTTTGAGTAAAATGTACTTGTTTGACAATCATTTTGTCATTTAGAGAATTAATCTAGCAGAAAATTAAAACTCGTGAAAAAAAGCGTTTTCTAATAAACCGAAAAATGCAAATAAACAAGTTTATATTCATAAAAAAACAAAAACAATACTGATGTTTTAACCCATTAAGAGTTCAGAGGGTGTCATTAGTATTGTTGTTTTAAAAATGAATACAAACTTTTATTTTAAACTATTCAAACTAAATTCTAAAACACTAATTTAAAATATAAAATATATAAATCTCTGAATAAAAATCGTGGTATTTGGAATGTTGTGAGTAGTTAACAGAATAAAACAAACGGATCTCAGTGTGTGATGGTGTTTTAACTGTAAGAGCAGGAGCTGCGTCACTGATCTGCGCTGAGACTCTGCGGCAGGAACACTTTGGAGGCAGAATCATCATGGTCACCAGAGACGAACTTTTACCTTACGACAAAACACGACTCAGCAAGGTGATGCAGAGTGAATGACACAATACAAACACCAACATTGAAGTGATGAATTGGTGTGTATTAACTACCATCTTGTTACAGGTAATGAATGTACAGAGCGACAGTATTCTGCTGAGGAGGATGGAGTTCTACCATCAGTACGACATCGAGGTGTGGCTCCGGAAAGAAGTGAGTTCACTTTCTGTGTCCTGTCTATCTAAATATGAATTGGTTCAGTTGTTTGTTAAATCGACCTAATACAGTCTACCCTCAGTACTGGTGGTATTTTTGATCTGTCCATATATTACAGGCAGTGTCACTGGACACAGACAAGAAGACAGTCACATTTGATGAAGGTTTAGTCCAGAGCTATGACCAGCTCCTCATCTCAACAGGCTGCAGGTACACACACACACACACACACACACACACACACACACACACACACACACACACACACACACACACACACACACACACACACACACACACACACACACACACACACACACACAATCATCTTAAATATAAAATATTGAAATTACTTGTTGATGACCAACAGCGGTTTGCTGCCTGTATACAGTGTATGAATTAGTCATTGCTGCAGCACTTCTACCCTGCACTGTGCTGCTTATAATCAGATGTATGGCCTTTTCCTTTAGAGCGAAGGCTCTGGATGTGCCTGGCACGAAGTTGGACAACATCAAGATGTTAGAGACACCAGAGGACGCTCGGCAAATCCACGCAGCCTGTCTGGGTCACAACGTCGCCCTTGTGGGAACTTCTTTTGTCGGTACTGTGTTGGAAGTGTGACAAATATGTTTTACATATTATTACAACAACAAATACATGATTTGTGTTTATTGGGGGGTTTTCATTTAAATATTCTCACATTTTTCCAGGTATGGAAGTTGCATCTTATTTAATAAACAAAGCCTCCAGTATCACAGTGATCGGCAGCAGTGAGCTGCCGTACCAGAACACACTGGGACGGGAAGTTGGCAAAGTTACCATGACGGTAAGAATACTGTAACAAAGAGGAAGAGATATTGTATCCTCACATTACATCTATTTTAAGCTACTTTAATTGTAACTCGTGTTGTTCTTGCAGATGCTGTCAGAGAAAAATGTGAAGTTTTACATGAATGACAATGTGACGGAGATCAAAGGTGTGGATGGCAAGGTAAAGTTGAATAGCACACATTTATTTTATCACTCCAACATCAGGACAATAAGAAACATCAAGTTTATTATGAAAATGTAAACAATGTTGGTTATTTCTCTCCTCTTTTTCATTGTCCTTTCTTCCTCAAGGTGAAGGAGGTTGTGCTTAAAAGTGGAAAAGTTATTCCAGCAGATGTTTTGATTGTTTGTATTGGTAAGTGCAATGCAGACATTTATGTGATTTTACCTTTATAAACGTACCTTATAACATCTTAAACATTCAAGTTGCTAAGCTAAGCTAGCTGGTGTAGCTTCATATTAACAGGACAGATGAGTGATATCTGTCTTTTCTTTTAAACATCTACCAAAAATCAGCTTTCCTGATTCAAATAAAAACGTTATGTTATGCATTTATAGCACACAAACAGCAGTGATATATTTAATTTGTCAGAGCAATAAACTGCTCAACAACACTAACAGTATTCCTAAAAAACCCTTGTCTTTTTTCTTTCTTCTTTCACAAGGCATCAAAGCAAACTCTGAGTTTCTGCGGAGCAGCAAAATACATCTGGACCCAAACAACTTTGTAACAGTCGACAAGGTCAGCTGATAACCTCATTTTCACATGATTATCTCAATCTGTTTCCAAACACATAACCTATTATTACCTGTTATTTTTTCATAACTCTGGTATTTTGTTGAGAGAGATTTACTTTCTCAATGTTAGACTTAACTATGAGTTTTTGGGGCCAGGCTAAAGGGATGAGCCGAAGAT